TTGGTTATTTTGTTATAATCAGGGGTTTCAGAAGCTTCCCTGCAACACATACACTGCAAAAAGTGATGAAAGATAAGTGAAAAAATGCCTGAATTGGGTCAAATATATCTTAATCTGAGCACATTCTGAATGAGCCATAGAACTCGATTCACTAATGGGACAAAGCAAAATGATCTTGTTTTAACTCTTGACGTCACCCATATCTAACTACAACACCCGCCTCCCGCGCTCTCTGATTGGGCGGATGGAATTCAACCGATTGTAATCACAAACCCAGGGACCAGACCCAGACGTTACATGCAGGACATGATGATTGACAGGAGAGTACGGATGGATAAGGCCAGACTGAATAACAACATGTGAAGCGTCTGAGAGTCCAAAAAAGAACTATATAAAACCACATTATAAAAATCTCTAACTTTAACGTAGAAAAGAAGCAAGAATTAAGTATAAAATAGTACAAAAGTTAATGGGTCAGAGGCAGGACATGTTTTAGTTCAGGGCTGTAACAAACATTATTCTTGCTTTTTTGCTGGACTAAACCTGAGGAAGCTGCGTTTCAGATTCATACAGCTAAAATCTGGAACAGTCTTCTTGAAAATGTGAGACAGACTTCTTCTCTGACAATGTTCAAATCCAGGTTAAAAACAATGCTTTATTTTATCTCCACTCTTTTTAATGTACTGTGATTATTTATGCCTTTTTTTTTTAGTCGATATCTTGTTTTGTTCTGCACTCTGAGTTGCCCTGTGTATGAACTGTGCTATATAAAAAGACCGGCCTTCCCAGAAACCCATCTTGCGTGACACTTTTTTTTTTTTTTTATATCTGGGAAACTCCTTGATCCAGATCCATGTTTGATGCCAGTAACCGGTGATAAGAGTTGGAATGTGAGACTACAGTTGGAGTGTGAGATTTCCAGGAGGATCTGGAGCCAACATAGCCCACGGGATGTTAAGGCGGAGGTTAGGGCTGCACAATATTAACGCTCGGTCTGTGCATTAAGGCCAAGGTCTGATATTTCTCTGCACAGACCGAGCAAGCGAGGTTAATAAATGTTTTATTATGACTCTCGTCTGTGTCTTTACCAACGCTTTTGAGATATTTGTGAAGTATGTTCATGTCCGACTTGGTTTTGTGTGATACGCGCTGCGGACAGATTGTCATGGTAACGGTCTGAGATGGGAAAATATCAGACCAAGGTAATCAGCCAATCAGAGCGCGCGTACGGTCCAAGTCATATAATAAATCGGAAAAATGTTGTTATTGCGATATTGGTACGTGCAATATCTAGATCAAAAAGATGCATGATAATTTATTTAAATTTTTTTCCCTTTATTAAACAAACACACACAAAAGTATATAAATATATGCATTTGAAGGTCATTAATGTTGTGCTTATTTATTATTATTTGTCTCTTGTCTCTCTAGATTGTCTCTAGATGGTCTGTCCCTCTAGAGGGTCTGTCTCTCTAGATGGTCTGTCCCTCTAGAGGGTCTGTCCCTCTAGATGGTCTGTCCCTCTAGAGGGTCTGTCCCTCTAGATGGTCTGTCCCTCTAGATGGTCTGTCCCTCTAGAGGGTCTGTCTCTAGATGGTCTGTCCCTCTAGAGGGTCTGTCCCTCTAGATGGTCTGTCCCTCTAGATGGTCTGTCCCTCTAGAGGGTCTGTCTCTAGATGGTCTGTCCCTCTAGAGGGTCTGTCCCTCTAGATGGTCTGTCCCTCTAGATGGTCTGTCCCTCTAGAGGGTCTGTCTCTAGATGGTCTGTCCCTCTAGAGGGTCTGTCCCTCTAGATGGTCTGTCCCTCTAGAGGGTCTGTCCCTCTAGAGGGTCTGTCCCTCTAGAGGGTCTGTCTCTAGATGGTCTGTCCCTCTAGAGGGTCTGTCCCTCTAGATGGTCTGTCCCTCTAGAGGGTCTGTCTCTAGATCAGGGGTGTCAAACTCATTTTGGTCCGGGGGCCACATACAACCTAATCTGATCTCAAGTGGGCCGGACCAGGAGATGCTCTACAAAAATATCCAAAAACGGTACAAAGTCCAACTTTTTGTGCACATAACCACATTTATTTAAAACTTCCTTTAAAACACTGTCCTTTAATACTCAGTTTTCTGTTACAAACTTAAATGTAACAGTGAGTTTTCCATAGTGCAAATAATGTAGCGTATTTACAATATTACATTGAAAATGGTATTTCACAATATTTATATTAATATTTGTATGTTAGCTTTGTTTTAAGGCTCATTACAGAGAAAATCTGCTCACAAAGGTAAAGTAGGTAGATAGAAAAAAGCACTTAAACATAGCACCTCAGCTTAACCATCTTCAGTGTGGTCAGGTCCATGGTTATGTTATTATCACATTAACCATCTTCAGTGTGGTAAGGTCCACGGTTATGTTATTATCACATTAACCATCTTCAGTGTGGTAAGGTCCATGGTTATGTTATTATCACATTAACCATCTTCAGTGTGGTAAGGTCCATGGTTATGTTATTATCACATTAACCATCTTCAGTGTGGTAAGGACCATGGTTATGTTATTATCACATTAACCATCTTCAGTGTGGTAAGGTCCATGGTTATGTTATTATCACATTAACCATCTTCAGTGTGGTAAGGTCCATGGTTATGTTATTATCACATTAACCATCTTCAGTGTGGTAAGGACCATGGTTATGTTATTATCACATTAACCATCTTCAGTGTGGTAAGGTCCATGGTTATGTTATTATCACATTAACCATCTTCAGTGTGGTCAGGTCCATGGTTATGTTATTATCACATTAACCATCTTCAGTGTGGTAAGGTCCATGGTTATGTTATTATCACATTAACCATCTTCAGTGTGGTAAGGTCCATGGTTATGTTATTATCACATTAACCATCTTCAGTGTGTAAGGTCCATGGTTATGTTATTATCACATTAACCATCTTCAGTGTGGTAAGGTCCATGGTTATGTTATTATCACATTAACCATCTTCAGAGTGGTAAGGACCATGGTTATGTTATTATCACATTAACCATCTTCAGTGTGTAAGGTCCATGGTTATGTTATTATCACATTAACCATCTTCAGTGTGGTAAGGTCCATGGTTATGTTATTATCACATTAACCATCTTCAGTGTGGTAAGGTCCATGGTTATGTTATTATCACATTAACCATCTTCAGTGTGGTAAGGTCCATGGTTATGTTATTATCACATTAACCATCTTCAGTGTGTAAGGTCCATGGTTATGTTATTATCACATTAACCATCTTCAGTGTGGTAAGGTCCATGGTTATGTTATTATCACATTAACCTTCTTCAGTGTGGTCAGGTCCATGGTTATGTTATTATCACATTAACCATCTTCAGTGTGTAAGGACCATGGTTATGTTATTATCACATTAACCATCTTCAGTGTGTAAGGTCCATGGTTATGTTATTATCACATTAACCATCTTCAGTGTGTAAGGTCCATGGTTATGTTATTATCACATTAACCATCTTCAGTGTGGTAAGGTCCATGGTTATGTTATTATCACATTAACCATCTTCAGGGCGGTAAGGTCCATGGTTATGTTATTATCACAGAGAAAGCATCAAACTGACCATGATTCAGTTGAAATGAATAAAACAACTTCCATAACGTGATTCATTCTTAACGACTGCAGCAGTGTCTCTGTGTAAAATACAGTCAAATGTCCAAAAATCATCACCTCCATTTGCAGCTTTGTCACTACACCTGTTTTTACCATCGGTACCAGTCCACACTGTCCAACACACCAGCAACAACAGCAGAACCAGCAGCAGCGCTCAAAACTCCTCTGATAGTTTCAGTAACACCACAAATGAATATGTGACATCAGTAACATCAGTCTCTTATCAATGGCAACATGTTGGTAAAAGCGAGTGGTTTCTCAGACCATGTCTGCAGCCTGTGAGAGTTTTAACAAACTCTCTCTCACTGTGCGGCTGCGATGCTAATGCTAATGTTGTTAGCACAGGTAGCTTCCCTTTACAGCAGCAGAACTAACCTCTCGCTCTGGGCACAAACAGACTGCTGTGTCTTCAGGGCCAGACAGGTTTATCTTCTGTTTTCTCAATTCTCCGCTCAAAGTGCCGTATTTTTCGCCGAGTCTTGTAGTTTAAGATGTTATTCCTTCAGCACCGCTCTGGTGGAGCCACTACAGACGCACTGGACTCACCCCTGAGCGCGGCGCTTCGCGGTGCGGAGCCTCGCGTCGCGGAGCGGCTTTTTAAAATGTAACTTTATTATATTTTTACATAAATGAGCCACGGGCCGTGTCAAATCTCTTGGCGGGCCGGTTCCGGCCCGCGGGCCGTATGAATGACACCCCTGCTCTAGATGGTCTGTGTCTCTAGATGGTCTGTCTCTCTAGATGGTCTGTCTCTCTAGATGGTCTGTCTCTCTAGATGGTCTGTCTCTCTAGATGGTCTGTCTCTCTAGATGGTCTGTCTCTCTAGATGGTCTGTCTCTCTAGATGGTCTGTCCCTCTAGATGGTCTGTCCCTCTAGATGGTCTGTCCCTCTAGATGGTCTGTCTCTAGATGGTCTGTCTCTCTAGATGGTCTGTCTCTAGATGGTCTGTCTCTAGATGGTCTGTCTCTAGATGGTCTGTCTCTCTAGATGGTCTGTCCCTCTAGAGGGTCTGTCCCTCTAGATGGTCTGTCTCTCTAGATGGTCTGTCCCTCTAGATGATCTGTCTCTAGATGGTCTGTCCCTCTAGAGGGTCTGTCCCTCTAGATGGTCTGTCTCTCTAGATGGTCTGTCCCTAGATGGTCTGTCTCTAGATGGTCTGTCTCTCTAGATGGTCTGTCTCTAGATGGTCTGTCCCTCTAGATGGTCTGTCCCTCTAGATGGTCTGTCTCTAGATGGTCTGTCTCTCTAGATGGTCTGTCTCTAGATGGTCTGTCT